CTTTTTTGCTTCCTCCTCCCTCTCCTTCCTCTCCTTCTCCACTTTCTACACCTCCGCCTTACTCTCGTCCTCCTTCTACGCTTCTTCATCATTATCCTTGATCCTCCACTTCACCTTGTCCTACTCCATACTCCTCATCCTCCTCCCCCTCCTCCCTCTCCTCTTTCTTCGTCTCTTAGCGTCTCGTTACTCTGTCCTCCTCTCCTACTCTGTCCTCCTCTCCTACTTCTCTCTCCTCTCCTACTTCTCTCCTCCTCCCTGACATGATGTAGCCGGAATCATCATCCAGGAAAGGAGCACGGACAGGGTGGAAGTTTCCTCCGTCTCACAGTCTCAGGAGGAGCGGAGGAGGAGGAGAGATCGATTCTGGTTTGTCAACCCTCGTGGGGAAGAGGAGGACGTACGTGGGAGGATTGCTGCCGTAGCAGGCGCCTGCCAGCTACCTCCGTCCTTGGAGCTTATGAGCGAGGAAGCTGCCGATGCGCAGGGAGGGGGAGGGCTGGAGGGCGAGCAGGACTGGAACGCGGGAGATGAGGTGTATTGTTGCCTTGCTCTTGTTGCTCGAGATAACGAGGACTTTTTGAGCAGGAGGAGGGACTTGAGTCCAGGAGGGAGGAGGGGGAGGAGAAGAAAGATTCGATCGCTGCGATGCGCAAAGGAATTGCAGCTGGGGAGGGGTAAGAAAAATTCAATCTGACGTTGAGAGGAGGAAAAGGAGGAAGGAGGAGGTGATGATAGCAGTTTGTCTGGTTTGGGGGGTGCGGGTAATTTGTGATGCCGCGGAGGAGGGTGAACGAGAGGGAAGAGGGGGAACAAATGAGGAGGAGGAGGAGGAGGAGGAGGAGGAGGAGGAACAGGGGGAACATATGAGGAGGAGGAGGAGGAGGAGGAGGAACAGGGGGAACATATGAGGAGGAGGAGGAGGAGGAGGAGGAGGAGGAGGAGGAGGAGGAGGAGGAACAGGGGGAACATATGAGGAGGAGGAGGAGGAGGAACAGGGGGAACATATGAGGAGGAGGAGGAAGAGGGGGGGATAACGAGTCTGCAGGTACTTGCACAAGAGATTTCGGTTCTTTGCCTCGGAAAACATTGCTGCTCTCTTTAGGTTTCTCTTGGGCTATCTCTGTAGGAAGGTCCGAACCTCTCCGCCCCTTTCCTCCTTTCACCTTCCCCTTGCTCTCTTCGTTGCCTGCCTACCTCCTGCTCCTGCTCCTCGCTCCTCGCTCCTCGCTCCTCGCTCCTCGCTCCTCCCCCTCCCCTCCCCCTGCCCCTCCCCTTGCCCCTCTTCCTGCCCCTGCCCCTGCCCCTGCCCTTGCCCTTGCTCCTGCTCCTGCTCCTGCTCCTGCTCTATCCCACCTCAGCCCCATATCCTCCTCCTGCTCGATCCTCCCTCAAGACTGACGCTTGTGGCAGGGAGGGGTCCATCACGTCTGCAAGAGCCTCTTGTCTATCCTCAAGGACGCGAGCAACGACTCCCTCGCCTCCTCAGTCATCCTGGCGCTGAACATGTCGATCTTGGAGTTTGCGAGGAACGGGGGGAACGCGAGGAGAGGAGCGAGCGAGGGCGGGGAGGGAGAGGCAGAACAAGGGGAGTCGTCGCTGGGACAGGAAGCTGCGGCAGGAACAAGCAAAGCGGAAGAAGCTGGGACAGAGGCAGGGACTTTGAGAGCAGAAGCTGGAGGAGCAGGAGCAGGAGCGGGAGCAGGAGCAGGAGCAGGAGCAGGAGCAGGAGCAGGAAGGGAGCTCTCCTCACAGGACCTCCACTCGCTCATCACGTGCGTGGATCTCGTGCTCGACAACTACCTGCAGCTCAGCCGGGCGTACAGCTCGAGGCTGCTGCTCTCAAACGTCCAGCACTCGCCCAGCTCGAGGGCCGTCAGCTCCTCCTGGCTCTACAGCGAAGTCTCGGTAGACAAGGTGCTCACAGCTTGCCTCCTGCTCGAGGGGATGGGAGACTTTGCAGAGGCCCTGGGCTCCTCCTTCGACCCCTGCCTGCTCAAGGTCGTCTTCCCCCTCCTCTCTGCCGCCTCCCTCCCCTCCACCCACGTGTCAGACGCCGCCATGCAGACCCTCCGGCGCATCTGCCGATCTTGCGGGTACGAGGACGCGACGGCGCTCGTGAGGGAGAACGCGGACTACCTCATCGATAACGTCTGCAGGAACCTCGTCAGAGGGTCGTCCGCCAGTCAGCGGGGGTTCGCCCAGGGCCTCTCCTCCTCCTCCTCCTCCTTGCTGCAGTCTCACTCCTCTGAGTCGCGTGAGAACGACGCCTCCCTCCTCCGCGCTTGTCACGCCCTCCTTGTCATTCTGGTGCATCTCAACATGCAGCAGGCGTCTCTGCTGGAGGACACCGTCGAGGCCGTCAAGACAGCGCTGGAGGTCAACGTCAGGGGATGGAGCATCCCGCTTGCTCACGTCCTCCCTGCCTTCGTCACCGCCATCGTCGAGGGCTCGTCGCTGGGGGGAGGAGCAGAGTCAGACAAGCAGGGGACGTGGAAGGCCGAGGAAGAGAAGACTGAGGAGGAGGAGGAGGCTTGTAAGAGGCAAGCTCCCGTGCTCCCGCACGTGGATGACGATCAGAACGAGGAGGAGGGGGAGGGGGAGGAGGAGCACCACGACCAGCTGCCCTCTAGCAGGAAGGTGGCTGCTCCTGACACAGAGGCCAGGGCCTCAAGCATGCTCTTCAGCATCTTCGAGATGGCCGAGAGTCTCCTCAGTCACTCCATCCCCTCCGTCCGCTCCTCCGCCCTCATCGCCGTAGCTGCCGTCTCCTTCGCTCTCAGGAAGCAGCCCAGGGAGCTGCACCCCAGGATGCACGTCGTGTGGCCGCTGCTGTGCAGGAGGATGAAGGATATTGAGCCCTCGCTGCGCGTTCAGTCGATCTCCGCCCTAGCTGCCTGCGTGCGGGACTGCCCTGACTTCCTAGCTGACCGAGCTCTCTCCCACTTCGCTCCTGTGGCGTCTGAGATCCTGCAGGAGGAGGGGCAGACTAGCTGGCAGAAGGCCCAGCGCATGGCCCTCCTCCGATGCCTCAGCACCATGGCAGTTCATGTCGCCGCCGCTGCGCATGCTCGGGATGCGGAGGAGACGGCAGGGACTGTCGCCCGGATATGCGCGCGGCACAGCATGCTAGCGTCATCAGAGGTGGAGAGTGCGGCGAGCATGAGGGTCCTACGGCAGCTGCTCGCTAACGGGGATCGAGGACGAGTACAGGAGGAGGTGAAGCCCAAGATAGCTGTTGGAGGAGATGAGAGAGTATGTTGGTGGAGACTGTGTGATAGAGGCAGGAGGCGGAGGAGGTGAAGAGAGGGAGGGAGGGAGGGAGGGAGGGAGGGAGGAGGAGGAGGAGGAGGAGGAGGAGGAGGAGGAGGAGGAGGAGGAGGAGAGTGGGGAAGTAGAGATGAAGATGAGGAGGACGAGAGAGGAGGGGGAGGAGGAGGAGGAAAGCGAAGGAGAAGGACGAGGCTTGATGATCTCTACAGGTGTGGCTGGCTCTTGCCTCTAGCGTGGGGGTAGCAGGCGACTTTTCTCACACTTGTGCGAGCATGAGGGAGTGTCAGCTGACTCCTCTTCCTCAGCGTTTCCGCCGGAGACCCCACGGTTCTATCCCCTCCTCCTGCTCTAACCCCACATTGCTCTCCTCCCCTAGTTGCTCCCCTTCTCCCACCCTCTTTCTGTTGATCTCCTGGGCTCCTTGTCCTGGTCCTCCTGCTCCATACTCATATTCTACCAGCAGAACTCGAGAGCGTGGCCAAGGAGAGGATAGCTGCTCTAGAACAGATGTTGTCGCTGCTTCCAGCTCCCTGCCACAGGGACGTGACAAGTTGGAGAACTTTGTGTGACAAGCGATGAAAGGCAAAGACATGTACAGGAATCGTCGTTCCTTCCCTCCCTCCCTCCTCCTACCCTCCCTCGCCATTCACATCTTCTTCCTTCTTCAGGGGCCTGTATCCTTACTGCTTCCTCCTCCTTCCCCTCTCCCTGCCTTCAATGGATCTTCTCCTGATCTCACACGAGCCACTCGACGATGGGCCCCGAGCCATAGCGCCACTGAATCTCATGCTTCATGTGCTCCCCCTTGCGGGAGTTCCCCAGGCTCGCCCAGTCCTCGTCCTCCAAGAAGCAGTTGGCGAGAATGACCGACGCCATGCTTCGCTTCTCTTCCAGCTCCTGCAGTAAGTCAGAGGCAGTACACTCCAGCTCCTCGCCTGCACCACGTCCAGCTCCGACGCCCGCCAGGACGAGCTCTGGTGGTTGATCATTCTACATCTCCTCAGCACGTGAAGGACCTGCAGGAACAGGATCATCAAATCTCCTTCTCCTCCGCCCCGCCCCTCCCCCCCCTCTTCTCTTGCTCCTCCTCCTCTCCCCCCTCACTCTTCCCCCTCCCCCCCGCCCTCTTCTTCTCCCTTCCTCACCGCCAGCACTGCCGCAGTGTTGGACGCGAAGCGCTTGACGTTGGTGGCGCTGCCCTCGCAGATCTCCTTGAGCAGGCAGAGCAGCTGCTTGTCAAGGAACTGCAACTGCGCCGCCTCCCTACCGCACACCGTCAGCCCTCCTCTCCTCCTCCTCCTCACCACCCCCGCACCACTTCTGCCTCCTCGGGTCGTCCCGGAGCAGGTGTCCGATGACAGTCAGCAGCTTCGGCCTCGACCCCAGGTACTCCTGGACCTCTCCTCTACGAGGGTTCTCCCTGGCCAACAGCTTCTGCAGCTCCTCAACCGCTCCCACCAGGTTGCTCCCGTCCTGAGTGCTGAGGAGGGTGACTATCAGCCTGTTGAGGTAGGTGTTGGGGCAGAGCAGACTATCCCCGTCGATGGAGGACCGAAAGATCCTCCCTGCGCTGATGTAGACAGGAGAGTCCTTCCTCGCCATCCCCGCATGCTTCTCCCCTGTACGGAGGTCAGGGACGTCAGGCCACGGGGAGGAAAGCAAACCGTTGCCGCCCTCCTGCCATGACAGACCGTTGCTGCCCTCCTGCCATGACAGACCGTTGCTGCCCTCCTGCCATGGCTCTGCACTCCGATGAGCGGAGGGCTGCCAAGGAAGGAGCCTGCTCTCGTGTGCTAGGTAAGCCTCCAAGTCTGGCTCAGCATCGCCCTGGTGGGCCGCAGCTGAGGTCTGCCGAGAGCCGTTGGCGTGCGCCAGGACCTGAGGGTCGGAGGATAGCGAGGGCCTCCCAATGCTCTTTTCCTTCATCTCTACATGGATCGGCGTCCCCACGGCCGAGAAGCTCTGGGAGAGCTGGGCAGACGCAGAGTCGCTGAGGTCCATGGAGGTAGCATGCTGGATGCTGACAAGCTCCACCGCTATCTGAGCACCTTCAAGGGACTCGTCCAGTGAGCTAGGGGCTACCAGGTCCTCGTCCACCACGTCCTGATTCATCAACTTCTTCTCAAGCATCGAGACGTCTCGGTTCTGGTCGTGCTGCGACTTCTCGTAGACGAGGCTGAGGACGACGGAGGCGCGACGTCGGATCTCGTTGGAGCTGTCCTTGAGCAGTCGCTGGAGCGTCTTGAGGACGCCCGGGAACTGAGCTATCCTCCTCCGCATGTTCTCAGAGACGAAGAGGTTGCGGAGGAGCCGGATGCCTCGCAACTTGGACTTGGTGGTGCCGGACAGCAAGATCATGAGGAACCTCTCCACGTGCAGGTGCTGGAGGATCAGCTGGGGGTACTCGGAGTGGAGCGACATGTTGGAGAGCGCGCCCAGCGTAGAGTCAATGCATGCGTTGTTGCAGGTGAAGAGCAGGCTGCAGAGGCCCCTGATGATGCTGTCTCGGTGCGAGAGTTGCGACAGGAACTCCTTGGAGACCGCGAGGTTGGCGATGAGACAGGCGGCGGATTGCTTCACGTCGTCATCAGAACATCCGAGGAGGAGCGATGCAAGTTCTTCCAGCCTCCTTCCGTTCTCAGGGCAGGTCTTCTCCGGGTGGTTGGTGAAGGACAAGTACCTCAAGACTTTCAGCGCAGACCTCTTGATGTCGACCGATGAGTCCTGCGCCAAGAAGTTCCAGAGCGCCACGACAACTTGACGGTTCTCGATGATGAGGGAGAGGAAAAGTTTCTTCCCTTCCTGCTCGATGCGGTTGCAAGTCTCCTCCAGGATCAGCAGGTGTCTCTCCCTCGTTGCCACGTCCTCCGACACCAGCCCATCGAACAGAATCTCGAAGTTGGGCTTTCCCTGCTGGGCCCGCACTTCAGGCTGAGGCTTCAACCCGGACTCACCGAGGGTGTGAGAGTTGATCTGAGGGAGAGTCAAGCTTGCAGGTCAAGAGCCTCTCACGAGTGCAGCGAGACTCACTATCGTCGAGTCGTTGGGGAACATGTTGAAAGAGCCCATGGAGTCGGTTCTCGACATCTCTGTACAGTCTTCACCGGACGAGACGTTGCAGGAGAAGAGCTCTACCTTGGAAGGAGAGTTTGGAGTCAGCAGCCTCCATCGGCTCGCCAGCGTCACTTGGAGCAGAAGGTCAGAAGTTGCAAGCGAGCAAGGGAGGAGACAACCTGTCAGAGTCGGAGTCGAAGAGGTAAAACGCGCGTTGCATCCTCGACTTGCCTCGAGGTCTTGCTGCTGTCCAACATCACATCTCGCACCTTTGCTGAGTCAGCGCAGTCAAGTACCATCGAAGCTCGTCGCATCGTTGGACTCTGTTCCTTGGAAGCGAGCTCGGATGAAGCTACCATCATCTATCACGTCAAAGTCCCTTGATATCATGTGAATCCATGGAATGCTCATCATGGTTGTGATCTCATCCTTCAACTCTTTGTCACTCGGCCTCTCAGGAGAGCAACAACTTTCACCTTGGGACTTTGTTTTGTTACAACAGCAGCAGCCCCGAGCTCGCACAGGGCGACAGCTAACTTCTCTTCCAGCGAGACTACCTGCTCCGCAACCAAGTCAGCTCGTGCTGAAACATGCAAGCAGAGCTCCACCATGACGACTCTCCCTCGCACTCCCTCGTGAGTGACAGGCTGTGTCCTCGACCGGAGCTTCGTCACAAACCCAGCCACGTTCTTGAGCTTCCCGCTCGTCTCCATCTTGATCTGGAACACATGGTTGCTGCAAAACATCCGCCCCTGCCCCCTCCTACTTCAGTCCAGCAGACGTTGACACAACATACATCTACACCTTCCCGCGTGTCACAGTAGGGTCTGCCCCATGGTTTGTCCTGGCAGCATGCAGCCTCCAGCTCCTGCTCCTCCTCAGCCTCGCATCCCTCGCACTTGTCATCGTTCTCACCTCGTGCTCGGCAGAGGCTCTTGGAGGGTATCCTCTTCCGATAGATCTGAGACGACCCCTCCTGTCAGCTTCAGTTCACCTCCTCCAGCCCCCCTAGCCCTCGCTCACCATGTGATGAAGCATGCCGACCTCGCCCGTCCAACTTTCCTTCCACACCGTCTCTGCTCGCATGCACAAGGGAGACAGAGGCAGCGCTACTGTGCAGACTAGAATCGTTGCCCTCGCATGTCCTCCCCGCCATGTCTGAGGTAGACAGCCGCTTCCTTGACCGCACATGCCTCCCCACGAACCTCCGCGGGGTTCCCAGCCATGGGGAGACCGGCGACGCTGAACGCATGCGGGGACCTGGGATTCCACAAGTCAACCGAGACCTGCTCGGCTCCTCCATTCAATGGAGAGCATAGCACTGCATGTTTCTCGGTGGGGTGCTGGCTGAATTTGTTGGCCCCCCTATAGCTCACACTCAGTCTTGAGCTCGTTTCACTTCTGTCCAGCTTCCTCCGACTGCTGAACCGTCTCAGGTGCTTCACTGTGGCTCTCTCCTCCCTCTCCCTCCCCCTTCCTCTTCTAGCTATCCTGGTTTCTGAAGTATGGAAGGATAGTTGAGTTCCCAATTGCCAGTCTCTTAATCCTTCTCCCTCCCTCTGAGCTCCTTCTCCCTGTCTGTCTGTCTGTCTGTCTGTCTGTCTGTCTGTCTGTCTGTCTGTCTGTTTGTCTCTCTATCTCTCTCTCTCTCTTCCTCTGACCTCCTCTCCTTCGCTCTCCCTCGCTGCCCCTCGCCCGTCTCCAACATCCCTCTCTTGCATGGTAGAGGACTTTCCGGTCCTAGGAGCGGTAGAGACGTTTGCCTACTGTCACTACGGGTGCTTTCCCCTGTCGTTTCAGTGGATCATGTAAGGGTGGGGTGGATTTGTACGGTTATCCATCATCTGCGGACTCTACCCGACAGCACACTAACAAGTCTCGACCACGATCAAGGCCTCCAGTGTATGGTTATGTATGAGGAAACGAGGGAGGGGAGAGGAGGAGAGGAGGAGGAGAGGAGAAGGAGAGGAGGAGGAGAGGAGAGGAGAGGAGAGGAAAGAAGATTGTTTGTAGAATTTTCGCACTCTTGATGCTCGCACTGTCTGATAAAGTCGTGTGACCCATCCTTGACTCCCGTCGAACATGCGGAGGGCAGTGGGGAGAAGACTGGCGGTTCTTATCAACGCCAAGTCCATTCCTGCGCGAGCAGCATCGACATCGAACATTCTAGATGCTGCGCTTCAGGCTTCGTCTCAGGCAGATGGAGCACAAGAAGACAAGTTTGTCGCCAGCCGCGGACGGCATTACATGTCCGGGATGGAAGCCATTGCCAAGCTTCCGATCCTAATGCGCGACCTCGACAGAGCTCGAGGGCTGAACACAGGAGGATTCATCTCAGGATACAGAGGATCTCCGCTAGGAGGGTACGACCAGGCGCTAAGACGTGTGGCGGGGCACTTGAGGTCCAGGAGGATCGAAGTCGTCGAAGGTATCAACGAGGAGATAGCGGCGACGTCTGTGTGGGGGCGCAGCAGGTCTGCCTCTTCCAGGACAGAGAGGTGGAGGGCGTCTTCGGCATCTGGTATGGCAAGGGGCCAGGGGTAGACAGGAGCGGAGACGCGATCAAGCACGCGAACATGGCGGGGAGCTCGGGGAAGGGAGGAGTGCTTTGCCTGGCTGGAGACGACCATGCTTGCAAGTCCTCGACCCTTCCTCACCAGAGCGAACTGAATCTGAGGGATATGAACGTCCCCACACTCGTGCCAGGAGACGTCCAGGAGCTGCTGGAGCTGGGGGTTGTCGGCCTTGAGCTCTCGAGGTACAGCGGCTGCTGGGTAGGAATGAAAGTTACCTCCTACAGCATCGACAGGTCTGCTGTGCCTTGCGGGGATAACCTCAACTCACTTTGTCTGCTCCTCTCTCAGCTCCTGTACCGTCGATCTTGACAAGCTCCAGCTGCAAGTTTGCCTCCCCACCGAGGAGGAGTTCGCAATGCCTGAGGGAGGGCTGAACATGCGGGGAGGGGACGACTGGAACAGTCAGGAAATGCGCATGTACAAGTACAAGCTGCCGGCTGTGAGAGCGTTTGCTCGCAAGAACAGGCTGGACAAAGTGAGGACGAGGAGGGGGAGGAGGAAGAGGTGGGGTGGGGAGACAAGGATGAGGATGAGGATGAGGATGAGGAGGAGCGGTTGAGCGATGATGTTTCTGACTGTTGATGATTCGTTCGATGCTTCTTGCCAGGTTGTCTTTGGGGTTGGAGCGGGAGAACAGGAGCAGAGGGAGGGAGCGAGGAGGCGTCTTGGGATTGTCAGCGCTGGGACGACCTGTCATGATGTTCTGGAATGTCTTGAGATGATTGGAATCGGCAACAAGGACGCTGTTGAACTCGGGATATCAGTATACAAGGTGAAATGAAGAGGAGGAAGTGGTGGCGGGTGTTGATTATGGAGATGATGATTGAGTTGATGATGATGAATGATGATGATGATGATGATGGAGACAGCTGGGAGGATGATGACGTCATTGGCGCTTCTTCAGGTCGCGCTCGTCTGGCCTCTGGACGAGGAGAGTCTGGTGGAGTTTGCCAGGGGCTGCGAAGAGATTCTTGTAGTAGAGGAGAAGAGAGCGCTGCTGGAACTACAGGCAACGCCTCCTCCCTCTCCTCATACTCCTCATGCTCCTCCCAGGTTAAGGACGCGCTCTTCTCCCTTCCCGGCCATCCTCGTGTAGTTGGCAAGCGGGACGAGAGTGGGAGGAGGCTGCTGCCTGAAGAAGGAGAGTTGTCCTTCAAGACCATCCCCAGGGCCATCGGAGAGAGCCTGAGCAGGATCTCTCCCTGCTCCTCCTCCTCCTCCTCCTCCTCCTCCTCCTCCTCCTCCTCCTCCTCCTCGCCATCCTCCTCCTCTTACCTTGCCCTCTCCTCTTCCTCCTCGCCATCCTCCTCCTTCCGCAGAGCCCCCTACTTCTGCGCTGGATGCCCCCACAACTCGTCGACGGTGGTGCCAGCAGGGAGCATGGCGCTGGGAGGAATCGGTTGCCACACCCTCGCGCTGTTCATGGGGAGGATCCAGCAGTTCACGCAGATGGGAGGAGAAGGAGCGACATGGATCGGGACGAGCAAGTTTGTCAAGACCGGCCATGGTGATGAGAGAGGGGGAGAGGGAGAGGCGGGGAAGGAGGGAGAGAGAAAGGGACTGAGAGAGGCCAGGGACAGCGGAGGGGCCGGGGAGGAGGAGGAAGAGGAGGAAGAGGCGAAGGGGAAGGGGAAGGAGGAGGAGGAGGAGGCGAAGGGAAAGGGGGGGGAGGAGGAGGCTGATTCTTGTGTTGTCAGTATTTGTCAACGTGGGTGATGGGACTTACGTTCACTCCGCCATCCTCTCCATCAGAGCTTGTGTGGCTGCGAACATCAACATCACATTCAAGGTACTGCTCCCTCCTCTCCCCTCCCTCCTTCTCCCCTCCCTTCTCCCCCCCTCCCTTCTCCACTTGCTTCCTCTCCTCTCGTCCCGTCCCGTTCCGTCCTCTCCCCTCCCTGCAGTTATCTCCTCTATCTCCCCTCCTTCCCTTATCGTCTACACCCCTCCTGCTTCTTTTCAGTGTCCCCTTCCACTGCCACCTCCTCCTTCTGTTGCCCCCTTACGGTCTTCCCCCCTCCTATCCCTCCTCCGTGCTCAACACCCCTCATGCTGGCTCTTCTCTCCTCCCTCCTCCCTCTCCCTGCACCACTCTGCCTTCCACTCGCCTCCTTCCCCTCGACCATAACTTGCTCTGCTGTCGCTTCTTCTCTTCTCCTCGCTCCTGTTCTTCCTTACTTCCGTTCAGATCCTCCACAACGGCGCTGTGGCCATGACAGGAGGGCAGGCGAACGATACTGGAGCCTTCTCTCACCCTCCTGCCATGGCGCGACAACTGCGGGCCGAAGGCGTCAAGGAGGTGATTCGATTATCATCATCATCATCATCTCCATCATCATCATCATCATCATCGTCATCTCCATCGTCATCATCATCTCCATCATCATCTCCATCATCATCATGGTCATCATCGTCATCATTATCGCCATCTCCATTTCATCATCATCTCCATCATCATCATCGTCATCATTATCGCCATCTCCATTCATCATCATCTCCATCATCATCATCGTCATCATCATCATCATCACAAACATCATCATCATCATCATCATCATCATCATCATCATCATCATCATCAGCAGCAGCAGCAGCAGCATCACCACCACTAACACCACCGCCACCACCGCCATCACAACCACAATCATCATCATCATCTGCTGCTGCTCCTGCTGCTGCTCCTGCCGCTCCTGCTCCTCTTTCTCCTCCTGCTCCTGCTCCTATCCTTCCATCAACCCCTCCCTCAATCTTCCGACTCTGCTCGCTCCTTGGGATCTTTTGCCGAGCATAAGTCAGTGTGCAGGTGGTGGTGGTGGCGGAGCAGGAGGAGAAATATCGAGGAAAGACAAGGAGGACGGAGTGCGATATGTAGGACGAGACGAGCTGCAAGCAGTTCAGCAGCACTTGAGGACGGTCAGTTTGCTACAAGGGGGAAGGAGAGGAGAAGGAAGTATTGAGGAAGAGAGGACAGGGTTGGGGGAGCAGGGGATATGGATTAAGGGATGAGAGAAGGAATGTAGAGGGAGAGAGGGAGAGGAGGAGGAGGAGGAGGAGGAGGAGGAGGAGGAGGAGGAGGAGTGAGGATTGTGGCAGGTATCAGGTGTGACAGCGATCATCTACGACCAGGAGTGTGCAACGGAGAAGAGGAGGAAGAGGAAGCGCTCGAAGGTGAAGGAGCAGGAGCAGCGGGTGTATATACACGAGGAAGTCTGCGAAGGGTGCGGGGACTGTGGAGTCCAGAGCAACTGTGTTGCGATAGTTCCCAAGGAGACTGCGCTGGGAAGAAAGAGAAAGGTTGATCAGTCCTCCTGCAACGGGGACCTCTCCTGCCGCAAGGGGTTCTGCCCTTCGTTCGTGTCTGTGGTGGGGGGAAGAAGGAGGGTGAGTGGGAGCAGCGGGCTTGCAGCTGAGTTGGATGCGATCACGTTGCCCGAGCCGACGAGGGCGGAGAAGGAAGCATCCTCCTCCTCCTCCTCCTCCTCCCCTCCTCCTTCTCAGTTCTCATCTGTGGGATTGGGGGAAGTGGAGTTGTTACGTCAGCTGCTGTTATGGGACAAGCAGCTCACCGCGAGGGGTTTCAAGCTCGTGTGCTGGTGAGAGCAGCAGCAATGAGTGGAGATGGAAGAGAGGAAGGAGGAAGGGAGGACGGAGGGAGGACGGAGGGAGGGGGGAGGAGGGAGGAGGTGGATGGGATAGCTGAAATGTTGTACAGGATCAAATCGGTCTGTCGCAGAAGAATGGATCGGTGGTATCAGTGGTGAAGATGTTTAAAGGGGATGAGCGAAAAGATAAGTGAGTTGTAATTTATGATGATGAAGATGATGATGAAGATGATGAAGATGATGTAGATGTAGATGTAGATGATGATGATGATGATGATGATGATGATGATGATGTAGATGTAGATGATGATGATGATGATGGAGATGGAGATGATGATGATGGAGATGGAGATGATGATGATGGAGATGGAGATGATGATGACCATGACCATGATGATGCCCCCAGGAACACATTCTCCTGTGCTCGGCCGGCACAAGTCGACCTTGTGATCAGCATGGATGTCGTGACGACTCTCCTGCCTCACAATCTCGAATGCATCGGCGAGAGCACTCAGATAGTCTGCAACCTCAACAAGACGATGCCGGGAGCTTTCACCAGGTAGGGAGAGGCAGGAGAAGGAGGGAAGGTAGGGAAGGACAAGCACACAGGGGCGATGCAAATGCAGGAGATGGGAAAAGGACGGAAGAGGTAGAGAAGCAGGAGCAGGAGCAGGAGCAGGAGCAGGAGTAAGGGCAGAGGCAGGAGCAGGGGCAGGAGCAGGGGCAGGAGCAGGAGCAGGAGCAGGAGCAGGAGCAGGAGCAGGAGCAGGAGCAGGAGCAGGAGCAGAGGCAGGAGCAGGGGCAGGAGCAGGGGCAGGAGCAGGAGCAGGAGCAGGAGCAGGAGCAGGAGCAGGAGGGATGTGGTTTTTACCTCTCACTCTCAGGGATCGAGATCTTCACTTCCCCATGGAGGAGATGCTCATGAAGCTCGAAGAGCGAGTGGGAAGCGACCGAGTGCACCGGTGAGGAGCGTCTGCGTGCTGCCTCCCTTCCCCTTCCCTCACCTCCCGCTCGAGCAGCTGCGACATGCACAGACTGTCGGAGGAAGTCCTCGGGGACGCCGTGTTTGCCAACGTGGTGTGCCTGGGGTTCTGCTTCCAGCTGGGGCTGCTTCCTCTTCCTGCTGAAGCGCTGTTGGGGGTTATAGGGGAGGGAGTGGACGTGGGAAGGAACTCCTTGGCGTTCAAGCTGGGAAGGCTGGCGGCACACGACGAGGGGTTGGTGGAGAGCTGGAGGAGGAGGAGGAGGGAGGGCGAGTGGGGGGGCGGACAGCACTGGAGATGTCGTTGGACGAGACGGTAGAGGATCGGAGCAGGAGGTTGCGGAGTTATCAGGACGAGGCCCTTGCAAACAAGTACCAGGAGGTGAAGTGGGAGAGCTGGAAATTTCCCTGCTGTCCATAAGTGATGCTTGCTGTTTGACTGTGTTTCAGGGCGTCAGGGAAGTGAGGAGGAGGGAGGAGGAGCTTCTAGGCTGGCTCAACGGGGAGGAGGACGTGGATGTCAAGGTGCAGAAGCTGTCGAACACTATGGCTAGGAGTTACTACAAAGTCCTTGCTATCAAGGTGAATCTTCCGCTCTTTCCTCCTTCTCTCCTTCCCTCCCTCCTCCTCCTCCTCCTCCTCCTCCTCCTCCTCCCCCTCCCCTCCTCCTCCTCCTCCTCCTTCTCCTCCTCCCTCCTCCCCCTCCTCCTCCTCCTTCTCCTCCCCCTCCTCCTCAGCAGTTTCAACTTTGACCTCCCCACAGGACGAGTTCGAGGTTGCGAGGCTGCTCCTCGACGGGAGTCTGCAGCGGGAGATCTCCAAGGGGATGGAAGGTTTACAGCTTGTCCTGAAGTCACTCCGGCTCAAGTCCCTGCAGGAGAATATTCGCTCTCCTTCCACCTCGCTCCTCCTGCGCTCAACTGGTTCAGCAAAAGGTGAACGCTCCCTCCTATTCCTCCCCCCCCTCCATCTATCCTCTCCTCCCCAACTTCCCTTCTCTCCTCTCTCCCTCATCTCCTTTCCTCCTCCCTAAAACCCTTCGCTTCCTCTCGACTCATTTTCTCCCCCCGGTCCTCCTCCAGTCTCCCTTGTTCACTCTTCTTCACCAGCAGCTCAAAGAAATTCGCTTTTCCTGCATGGCTGGCTATCCCTGCTTTCAGGTTCAACCTTGTTTCCTTCCCTCCTTCTGCATACCCTCCAAGAACCTTTGTTGTTCCTCCCCCTCGCCCCCCTCCCCCCCTCCCCTTTTCTCCTCCTCCTCCCCACTTCCTCCTAGTCCTGCCCCTTTCAAACACCACAACCACCACTTCCACTTCTTTCTCCTCCTGCTCCTCCTGCTCCTCCTGCTCCTCCTGCTCCTCCGCCTCCCGCCTGTCCTCGTTGATGGCCCTACAGGCTGTTGAGGAGCATGTCATTCCTGCGCAACACCGTCCTCGATCCCTTCCGCTTGTCAGCTGACAGAAAACTGAATTTCAAGGTTGTCTCCTCCTCCTGCTCCTGCTCCTCCTGCTCCTCCTGCTCCTCCTGCTCCTCCTCCTCCTCCTCCTCCTCCTCCTCCTGCTCCTGCTCCTGCTCCTGCTCCTGCTCCTCCTCCCTCCTCCTCCTCCTGCTCCTCCTCCCTCCTCCTCCTCCTCCACCTCCTCCTCCTACTACTACTACTACTACTACTACTACTACTACTCTTCCTCCTCTCCCTCATACTTCCTGCTTCCTCCTTGCATCCCCCCTCCCTCCCTCCCTCCCTCCCTCCCTCCTCCTACTCTTCCTCCCTCCTCCTCCTCCTCTTCCTCTCCCTGACTCCCGATGCTCTCTAGCTCCTTGCCCACTTTGAGGATGACGTGGCGCTGGTTCTCCGTGTCTTGAGTGCTGCTAGAAACACGTCTTGGGCGCTCCCAGCCTACAAACTCAGCGTAAGTGGAGGAGGAGGAGGAGGAAGGGGATCAGTTGGAAGAGGAGGAGGAGGAGGAGGAGGAGGAGGAGGAGGAGCGTGTGGAAAGGATGAAAAAATGGGCAAGGGGCAGGAGCAGCGGAGGGGAGGAGAACCACTGCTGGGGGTGACTGTGTGGTGCAGGTGGAGCTGCTGGAGATCCCAAACATGATCCGGGGCTACGGCCATGTGCGTGAAGAAGGAGCAGCGAAGGCAGCAGAGAGGTATGAGGAGGAGAGGGACGGAGGGGAAGGAAGGAGGGAAGGGAAGGAGAGGACAGGGATGGGAGAAGATGGAGATGGAACAGGGCGGACAAGCATAGGAGAAGGAACGAAAGAGGAGGGGAGGAGGGATAGGAGAGTTGTGCAGGAGGAAGAGGAGCAGGGATCAGGAGACGGAGCATCAGGCTGATTGAACGCAGGAGGTCGGAGCTTCTGGCCCGGATCGACTCCATCATGGAACGTGTTACTCCTGTTACTCCAGAGAAGTAAAGAAGTCGAGCAAGCTGGTCGATGGCCGTACCCTTCAAGAGCACTGCTGAGAGAAGGAGAGGAGCATGTGGGTTGGGGAAGAGGATTGATGAGTTCTGGATGGGGAGGGAGGAGAATGGGTATAGGGAGGAAGTAAGGGAGGATCAGCTTCATCGAACGTAGAGTGAGAGGAAGCAGATTGAAAGAACGGGTGGGTGGGCAGGAGTCCATGGCAGGGTTAACCGGGCAGAGTTTCCAAAACAAGAGTAAGTGAAGGAAGGAGAGGAAGGAAGAAGGGACGGAAGAAGAAAAAGAAAGAAGGAGGAAGGGGAAGGGGAAGGTAAAGAGGAGGCAAGGGAATGAGGAAGGAACTAGACGAGGAGGAACGAGGAGAGGACAGGCACAAGTTTCCTTTCTCCCAGTTTAACAAAAACTTATTGGCCGATCACTTTCTTGGTGGTGCAATAGACACCGTCGAGGTACTTACGGATATCCTTGTGCTTGACCTGGCACATCTGCTGGATCTGAGAGACTGAGGTACCGACGCCCTCGATGCTGTTTCCAGTGATAACGATCTCATCCTTCTCCTTGGTGCGGTCAACCTCGCAGCCCTCCTGCATGGGGACCTTGAAGGTAACCTGCGCTCCTCGTTCAACCACACGAAACAGGATACAGCGAAGCAGGAGAGGGTGACAGAGACAGGAGGGAGAGAGGGAAGGGGGAAGGAGGGAGATGCAAAAGCCACAGCACGAAAGGTATGATCGACAGCAACGAGAGCATGTTTTTTTGTCTTCTCACCTTCTGTCCGAGGTAGTTGCGGATCTCGATGAGGTTCTTGACCTTGGAGTTTCCAATCTTTTCGCAGTTGACGTTGATGGGAAAGTGAGCATATACAAGCTTCATCTTGTATTCGTAGCCATGGGTAACGCCGACCATCATGTTGTTGATGTGGGAGCACACAGATCGCACAGCAGCAAGCTCCTTCTTGGCGCCGAACCACTTCTCAACCTGTTCCTCAACATGAGATAATGAAATCAGCGGGCATGTCAATCACGCACAACGATGGCGTCTTTTCCCTTCTTGTTCTTGCCCTTCTTGATCTCAATGTTGAGATGCTTGAAGTCGCGCGTCAGGGTTCCGCGCTTGCCGGTCACAGTGACGACACGAGCCTTCACATCGACCTTGGTCCCCTCAAGGATCTCAACGTCCTGCATGGCTAGGTCAACAGGATGAAGGACTGCTTCACTATCGTCACACATACACAACATGCGGCATGAAGAATAGGTTCACGATAGACATAACACCATTAGAGACTGCGGGTATCGCAATGGAGAAGCACAGAGATGAGGTCGGACGAATGTGATGAGAACACAAGCTTCATGCCCTCTGTCACGTGCCCTCGGAAGACGGCACGGAAGACGACACTTTCACAAGGAATGAGACGAGGGAGTGCTGGAGGACGCAGGGAGAACAATCAGACAACAAACTGGAAACACGATGAGATATTGGTTGGTCGATGCTGCCACACATGCTTGACCAGCTCAGGAGCAACCATAACCACGGCAAGGTTATCAACACGCAGCTTCCCGACACCGCCCAAGTCCGAACGGACACGAACAACGAGAGAGACATGAACTGCGAAGGGAGGGAGGAAGAGCAAGGGAGGAAGCATCCGAGTGCGTTCGTCGCATCATCGCTCATCATGTTAACAGCGATCGCGGCGGCTCCTACCATCTTCTCGAGGATCGGCTTCACCATGGCGCCTGCTGCTTCTTCACGCACGAGGCCGAAAAAAAAAATAGAGGAGAGTGAGAGACTGGGGAAGGGTGGGGTACTATGAGGGAAAAGGAGGGGTATGAAGTCAATGATTGGGATAGTCCAAAACATGGGAAAGAGGAGGTGGGGGTAGTAATCTCAGTACCCCTCATTTCATATGAGTATTGGATGATTTTCTGGGGGTGGGTATACACCCAAACCACCCCTTCTTTTCTATGCCAGATTGTGGGCCATTTAGACGGGTGGGGTGAAACAATTCTCTGTAACAGGTTGTAACAGAGGTAACGGAAACATGGCAATAACGGAAACGGAGTCGGAGACGTTGCAAGGGCAATGGACGTTACAATTAATTGCAGCCGTTGATGACGCGCCCATGCTTTGAGCAAGGGGCTTGCAATCAGGCTTGCAAGGACAAGTCACGAGGGACGAGGGTTGTTCGAGGAGGAGGAGGAGATGCTTGCACTTGTGTGAGAATGTGCTAGAGGAGGAGAAGACGTCTTAGCCTGTGAGAATGTGCTAGGAGGAGAAGACGTCTTAGGAGGAGAAGACGTCTTAGCCTGTGAGCAAGAAGAATTGAAACCAGCGGATTCTGGGATCAAGCTGAGTGGCCCTCCCTTGTTTGAGGGCTTGATATGTGCTTCTGGCGACGCTGCTGATCCCCCACCAGGTTCTCATTCGCACCATCGGTCGTCGAGGTCATCACTGGCGTTTGAAGTAACAAGTCTCGCGCCCCTTGCAACTGATCGTCCGGAGCGGTGGTATGTCCGCCAACTTCAGGTTTCAGGATGGCGAAGTATCGGCGACTCTGATCCAGGTGAGTGTGCCGGTTGGTTCCTCAAAGTCTGCGAGTCATCTGCCAGTCAGGATGTGAAGGCCTTGAAGAATCTGAGTGAGGATCAACTCGAGGAGGTGACAATGACCTTGTCTCGAAGTTCGGTTCACGATGGAGATGGTTCAGCTCGTGAAGATATGCCTGCAGTTCTTGTGCTCGTCGGACACAGAGACGTTTGTAGGTGAGAGCGAAAGCACGAGAGCGCGTACGTCATGAGCGAATCATCTTCATGTCAGAGAAGTCAACGAGCTACGCTGACAGGCATGAGATGAATATTGGGGCTCTAAAAGGTAAATCTATCCTTTGCTTCCCTGCTCCCTCTTCTCCTCCTACTACTGCTAATCCTCCTTCTATTTCGAATCATGCTTCACTTGCTCCTCCCCTGCTTACTCGTCCTTTGCCCCCTCCACTGCCCAATTTATCCGTATCTTCCCCCTCCCTCCCACCCCCGCCTTGTTGGACCTGTATTGATGTCATCAATCCACTCAGGCAGCCTTCGTGGACTTTTGAACTTCTTCAAAGGAGCAGCAAGGAAGTATCTGTCACAGGTGACTGCTTCTCCTCCTCCTCTCCCTTCTCAACTCGTTCGGTCCAGGCTCTGATACAAGAGGACATGATGCGATTCGGTAAGGGAGGAGGACCCTGGTTTTACCTCACCTCCTCTGATCGCACATTGCAAGGGTTTGATGAGAACAGAGCAAAGATCGTTGCTAGCTCCTGGCAAGCTCATTTCCTTGCCCTTTCGCGAGGGATTGCGGGCCAGGTACTTCCCTCCCTCTCTCCCCTTCCCTTGCTCTCGTTGCTGCTGTAACGAGGAGCAAGACTCTTGTAGTCAACAAGCTCGTCGACATGGACTGGCGCTTCGGCGTCACTTCCTCATCATCCGAGCTGAAGCAGGTGCAACCCACTCAGTGCTGGGAACGTTGTGTGAGGAAAGAGCAGGTCGGAAGGACCTTCCTCCAGCTACGACTTCAGCTTGACAAGGGCAACGGGGCCATCGAGACGACCAATATGGAGCTTTCGCTCCCTCAGTTCTATGAGTTCTTGCAGGTAGGTGCAGGCGTGTTGCTGGCGTGTTTCTGCCCCTTCTGAACCCTCTCGGGCACCCTCGCAGGAGATGGAGAAGGCCAAGGCTGCTATGGAATTTCTCACATAGGAGAGGAAGAGGGACTGGAAATCTTGGCGTTTCCATTAATCTACATAGTGTACAAGCTTGTGAAACATAAAGTAGGACGGGATCAAGCCTTGGACGAGAGCGAGCCGTACGCATCGCCAAGTTCTTCTTGCTCTGCACCCAGAAATTTTTTCCCGCCGTCGAGTCTCCGGGGCTTCGACCAGAGGCGTACAGTGATTGTAAACACGGCTGCCACGAGAACTGTCCCCAATGAGATCATCAGACTTACTGTATGCAAGGAACGAGTTGGGGAAGACAATGGAGCAAGAGCAGCAGCAGGAGGTTCCAAAATAAAGACAGCGATGAAAGGGAGGTGGAGGGCACCTGCGTTGATTCCGACCATCGCTGGAACTCTTGCTACCTTTCGCATGCCCAGCATGCCCTCGAACTGCACAAACAGCTTCGTGAGATGGGTCACGTCACTTGCATCAACAAGTCACTACCTGCCCGCTCCCAACTTGCTCGTCTTCCACCTCAAAGTCTTCGTACGATCTTGGCTGATGTAGGAGTCAGTTCCGCTGTGGGGGGAAAGAGGGGGGGCGGGGGGCCTTCTCTTACCCTCTTTCCATCTCCCAGATCTGTCGACCTCCTTAGCTTCTGGAGTGTCCTGCGGAAGGATCAATCCTCTTAATCATCGCAACAAACAGTCCTCTACTTCTTCAGGAGCAGCCTCTTCGCCGTCCTTTCACTGTGAAAGTGGAATGAGGACTTGATCTCGTTCCCGATCGTCTCGATGTGTTCCGCGATGCTTGACCTCCGTAACCTCGCCAGTGGCTGCCCCTCGTTGTGAAGCTGAGACTCGATATGAAGGTTTGAGAAATCAGAGATCCTTGAAGATTTCTCGTCTTTTCTCGCTGCCAGACCTCTCAGTTCCTTTTACACTTCGCGCCAGATGAATCAAACACATAGGACAGCACAAGGGGACAGAACTTACCCATGTCAAGGTCAAACATGTGAAGATCAACTCTCTTCGTGTCCAAAGCAAGAGTTACCACCTATATCCAGGTTCATTCATGGCAACAGAGGAAAAAATAACACACCTTTGCCGGTGTTCCCAACGAGGCATGGATCAAATAGAGGTATTTCAAGGCTGCAGGCTGCCCGGCGTCTCCCGGGACTTTCATCAACTTCTTCTCAACAGGAACTACTATGGGATCATGAGTAGAAGCCAAGTGAATCGAGTGCTCTGATCGCCCTACAGAGCCAGCGACCCCCCATTCTTGGCCCTTCCTCCTTCCAAACCCGAACCTGGGATGGTTACCGTCGGACAGATCGTACAGAACGACGAAACTGCGGAAGAAGGGATCCCCTAAGACTAGCGATGAAGAGCAAGGCTGCACACAGACGTCTCCAGGCATGCGGAGCAGATGCTTCTGTCCGTCAGCTCCCTGTACAGCCACCGAGATGAATTGATGACCACGTTCCAACTTGGAGCGCAAGAAGCGCTCGTACGGAGACTCACGCAGAGTCCTGTTCGCGTCGTTGTTCGGAATGCAAAGGCAGGGTTGAGAGAAATCGACCTCCCCTGATACAAACCCCTGCTTGCTCGGCTCGTGAAAGTTCAACACTTCTACCGTACTCAACTCGTCCCCGACTTGCAAGGAGTGAACGTTCACGGAGTAGCTGCTGCCAGACATGGGCACCGTCACCATCTCGCCCTTGATAGTGTCATGATCATAGCCACCAATGTAGAGCAGAGCTGCCGTGTCGTTTGTCATGATCGAAAATTTTCTCGTTCTGGCATCCAACGAGTGAGGAATATTGGTATTCTGAACATGTTCAAACAAGTCCGACAGTATACAACCCTGGCACCTTTGACCCTCCCAACCTAACCCGAGATCACCATCAGCGACTGATGCATATGGAGCTTTCGACGCGGCCGAACCATGCAAGCGTACCCTCACGGACACATCGGATATCCTCAGAACGTCAGTGCCGTCGATGCCCTTCCGAGGACTTGAGAGGTCAGTGCTTGCATTGTCAAGTTTCGAGAGCGATAGCTCCGGATGAAATGTCGAACTCTGCTCTACGCTGTAACCGTGCCCAGCTCGAACGAGCAGGAGGGCTATGAAGCAGCTGAAAGCCAATTGGCCAGCAAAACTGCTCATCCTCGATCTGGATCTTGTGCTAGACATCAGACAGCTATTGTATGCCAATGAACAGATTCTATGAACTTGTGTCATGACGTAGACCTCGCAGCTTGCCGGCGCCCTCCCTCCACCCCTTCTTCTTCCTCCTTCCCTCTCGCCATTCTGCGAAGGGTCCCAGGTGGGGAAAGGGGTGGGGTCAATTTGGTGTATGAGATGGGGGTGATAGGTACCGGGGTCATCGGAGGGGTGGAATAGGCGGGTTGCATTTCATTGCACAGGGGTACTCTTCAGCTCAATTGGTGGGTAGTAAATGGATAATCCAGGGGTAGTTGGGGTCCACCTGGAGGCAGGAGAAACATGCCAGTGGGGGGAATGATGGTGGTAGTAGGGGGTGGGGTATCATCAATCTTCAATACGGTGGCGCCGGCCCGGCGCCGGCCCGGCGCCGCGCGATCATGCCACTGTGCGCCGCCGGGGCTCACTGCCCGGCCACGGTTCCGGGCGGCCGACTCCGCGAACTCAGAGGCCGGCCTGGGGGGGGCTGGACTCGCCGGGGTCGGCGCTGAGCGGCCGCGCCGCGTCGTCCCCGCCAGCCCGGACTGCCGATCAGCGAAGGCCGCCGCTCAGTGACTGCCTGCGGCGGCACTGGCTGCCCGGCAGCTGAGTGCCGCGCCGGGCAGCGGCCGTCCCGGCCGCGCGACGGGCGACTCAAGTGATGGCACCGGCCGCCGGGCACTGGGCCCAGTGCCGCCAGTGGGCCATCCGATCGTCGGAACTTCACTGGGTACGCCGGCTCCGACGCGGGTCCGGGTCAGGGTCATCGCCGATGGGCCGGCCGTAGCACTGCCGGCGGAGCGCCACACTCCGACAAACGGACACGGCCGCGTGCGCCGGGACCGCACGGTTGGCTGCATAATGCCATGATCCGCAGTCAGGCAAGGAGCGGTGGACGCGAATCGAACTTTAGAAGCCTTCAACTTTGCCGGACCGTCTTCCGAGTCGGAATCACCGAACTTAACTGTCAAGCTTGGGGTGTCCAGCGAAAACTTGGTCTTCGATTCCACACTCGCTCTGTCCAAACCTGTTTTTGCCACGACTGCAGACAATTATCAGAGAAGTGATAAGACCAGAATCTTGCTACTCACCGGATCTTGAAGAATCCATTCATGCCCCAGTCAGCTGTCCAGCTGCAGCAAGGAGTCAAACCAATGTTTGCTATACCATGACAAGACTCATGGCAAAATCCTCACCTGTTGGCACAGATCCAATACTTAGTGGGCTTCTGCCAGAAACGTTTCGGAGGCTCGACCCCCCATCCAACGATCTTGATCGCGTGCCCCCCCTCCATGATGTCCAAAATCCTGTGATGATAACTGCAAGCAGCATCTCGTCACCGACTCCGTGTCGCAGGACCTGACGCCACTACTCACACTCCACTCTTGTACGACATGAAACTCGTGTAGACGCGGAAGCCTGCCTCAACAGGCCCATTGAGGTAGATCTCCTTCATGATGTCCTGTCAGTGCAGAGTGAGGATCACCCCGCCACGTCATCAAGGCTGGAACGAACCTCCTCGGTAGTGAGCTGGTAATAATCCGAGGCCTTGTATTTCTTGTAGGGCTCGCCATCCACACAAGAAATCCTGCAAGATGGGGCGACGCCCTTCTGGGCAGCATACGGAAAGCAAGATTCGGTGACGATTCCATTCGTCTTCAGGTAGTCCCAGGCCTTGTCCAGGTATCCGCCTTGGCAACCCATGTCTCCCTTGTCGCAACTCACCAAGTCTTCTGGAGACAAGATCTGTCGAGTAGAGAGCAGTATGAGCAAACGAGAACAGCACAGACAATCAATACCTTGTTCACTGTCCCATTGCTCGCAATTGCGAATCTGTCCGAAAGTACCTCAGAGGCTGCGAATGCCCAGCACGATCCGCAGCGTGCTTGATCTCTAATTGGGTGCATGTAATTTGGCCAGTTTTCATAGCAGTTGAACGACTCCGGGAGATCTTTCAATGCAGTACTCGAGTGAACTTTGACGGGAACTAGAAAGATGTTAAGAGGCAACTGAACATCCAAAATGATTTTCTGAAACCTTCAGAGTAATCTCTATCCAAGCGAAGACCAAGCATTGATGATCGGAATTCTTTCATAGTCATTCCCTTGAATATTTCAGTCTCTCCTGCAGTCCTGCGATTTCAATTGTGTCAATTTTACTTGTGATAACAGAGACGAATTGCCAAGTCGACTTACCACAAGCTGTCCTTGTCAGAATTGATTTGTTCGATCATGTCTTTATCCAGAACGGGATCATCGCCATGTGAAACAGCTCCTACGAGTGGTTCAGCAAGCGCTAATAACGCTTTGTTGACAATCAGTAGGTTGAGCACCTGGGACACCTGCAACAGGAATGCCAGTCGCTACGGCAAGCAAACAAATGCAGATCAGACTCCGCAGGAACAGCATGTCCTGTTCTAAAACATAAATATATCAGTTGAAATCAATCACCAGTAAATCAGCTTGAATGCCCCTCTCTCCTTCACTACTCATTCAACTTCCCTCCCATCCCAATCCCATCCCATCCCATCCCATCCCATCCCATCCCATCCCATCCCATCCTCCTCCCTTCCCTCCCTTCCCATCCCATCCCATCCCATCCTCCTTCCTTACGCTAATTCTTTCCTCCCACACTCCTGGTCTCCATTACTCATTCCTCCCTTCCTTCAACCCTTCCTTCCTCCAATCTTTCTCCTTACGTCCCGCTGCCCTCGCCTTCCCTGCTCCCTGCATGGCTTCATTATAAATTCGGATAGCGACCGTTCCACCCACAACAAACACTAGCGATATAGTCAACCAGCCTTCGGTAAATGTTCACTATAATACCTATGTATGTATCATAGTCAATTTTTGTTCTGCAATGTCTTTTTTTAACTAAAAATAATACTAAAACTTTTAATATATAGAGTATCATGCTAGCCTCAGAGTATGTTCTATCAGAAGATTAGGGCAGCAAAGTCTTGGATGATCTCTTTCAATCTGTTTGCCCGACCGACGGCCCCTTGTTTCCCCAAATATCTCCCTACCCCCTCCAAAGCCTAGGCATCACACCCGTCATCACCGACGTATCCCAACACCCCCTCTTTACCCCGTGAACACCCACACTGGATACGGGGTTACACCCCCTGGATCGGACCCACCCTCTACGTTTTATTTGTGCTCAAGAACCCCCCTTTGTAATAGCCAAAGTACCCCTCCTTTCCCAAGGCAGAGGTACCCCATCCTGTTCATTCACCCCCCCACTCCATATGCCACCTGTCAGTCAGACGGGGTGTAGTTTCGAGTGGGTACTGGGTGGGTGCAAATATCAGAACATCACCGGTGGTTTTACCCTGGGAACCTTACACACCGGTATCATTGCCTCAAAATACCCCTGTTTTTCTAGAGGGTTCTGTGTTCCTTTTGGAAGGTAGCTTGAGATTGGGGGTGGGGGTCCCAGATCCTCAAGTGGTGGGTAATTCCCGACGCTCGACCGGTCATAGCATGTACCTTCACTTCACACTGACTACCGGTAATATTGTGAGTCAAAATATAGGTAGGGGTAATCACCCACCCACATGAACAAGTGTTCTATGTAAGAGCCGTTCGACGTACTAGGGTAACCCCCTTACCTCAATGTACCCCCTTTTTAGTTGTGGGTCTCGAATGTACCCTCTATTCACCAGGATATTTTGTCTAGGAAACACCGGTACTTGTTCAAAATCTACCACCCCCACCCACTGACTTTTTTCCCCACGCATTTGGTAATCCGTCCCTGCGATGCGCAAGGCGGCGTTGGAACGGGGGATGCGAGGAGTTGGAGGGATTTGGCGAGAGCAGTGGAAATAAGCAATGGCAATGATTCATTGTGATGAGATCGTAGAAGGATGATAGATAGAACTGTCATGAACAGATACTGAAGAGAGGCTGAAGTCAAAACAGTGATGGGGAACTGATATTGATATCCGCCACAAGAAGGGATCAAGATAAAACTCAAGAGCTAACTTGCTTCTTATTTCCTTCTCAATGGATTTCATAGAAGCTTGTGTTGGTTGACGATAGTTTATCTCGAAGAATGCTTTTGGGGTGCTTGTGGAACAGATGAAAACATTTTGAATGCAGCCTTTATGATGGTTTTTGGGGATTTTCAATAGTTAGAGAAGAATTTGAGAGCAAAGGTGATGGTGACAGCATTGCACGCACTCTATCCAGAGAGCAGAATGAACAGGGATGCAGGAATTTGTAACAATGCGCATTCTTCGTGTGACGAAACATAGAGGAAAAGGGAGGCTGTGTTCGGTTCAGGCCGAAGCGAAGAGTCGATTCAGCGTCCATGGCCTTACAACTCCTGTAGGTGTGGAAGGACGAGCAGCATGTCGTGGAAGCTGAGAAAGTGAAGAGATGGCCCTGAGCCTGAAAGAGATCCTCTCTTTTGAGTCATCGATTGAAGCAAGCCCTTTGCTATCGAAGTTCCTTCCAGAGGCTCAAGGTGATGCGCCTTTGCCTCGATGTTTGTGCTCCATGCCTGATGTGAAGGCGGACAGGGAAACATGATGGATCGACCAGCCCGAACGGTCTGACCAGGAGGCATTGGTTTGAGAGCCCCGGGCAAGGTCCACGAGAGAACGTGGTTGATCGGTCGCCTTTGTATCCTTGTTCAGACCTTGAATGTGAGGAGGATGCGATTTGTGTCGATGGTCCGAGGAGCAAGTCGTGTAGCTCGTGCTCGGTGTCCTCGTCAGTAAGTAGCAGCTTCGCTGAACATGGCCCCGATGGTCCCCTGATGGACTCTGATGCGGTTGACAACACAGAAATTGAGTTTTCCAATGAGGAAACGGTCGAGCTGGACAACTGCGAGGATGAGAGTATGGACAGTGATGTAGTAGCTGGAGTGTGGGGTCTTGCATGGGGCGAAAGGAGAATATGGCCAAGTTCTTCGTTGTGCCGGTTTATCACTAGATTTTCGTGCCCCGAGTCGCCGGGGATCGGCATCCATCGGGTGAAGTACAATGTTCAGAGAGTTGCGGTTCGAGCGAAAGAGCTGGCAGAGGGTGTGAGCGCGGAATTCAGCAAGCGAAAGAAGAGCCGTGAAATTTTTGTCATTTTGCCTGGCGGGTGGCTGCGGAGGGTCTGGGACCTGACAAGTCTCATTCTCATACTCAGCCTTCTGGTGTGTAAAGTTGCGAGCGAGAGATGGCAATCGCAACATCGGGGATGGATGTATGCCGATCTTGTTGGATACAATCCATATACAAGCAGCCTGCTGAAGATACAGGTAGACATTCTGCCATGAAGCTGCCACCATGTGATGTGTTGTGATCAGGTCTTGCTCGATTGTTTCTTCATAGTGGATATACTGGTCAACTTCTGTACTGCTTATCGAGACAAAGATGGAAAGTTGGTCAAGGATCCCTACCTAATTGCAAAGAATTATGCGATGCATTGGTGGGGCTTTTTTCGGTTTTATTTAGTGTTTCCGTCTTACACCTCTGCTAGGTTGATCCTTGACATGTTTTGCGCCATACCGTTCGACTACATTCTGCACATCGAAGATCCTGTAAGGAAAGGTTGAGGACAAGGATCGATCTAACCACCTTTGACAGGTTGAACAAGAACAGCGCCGTCGAACATGGTTCGCGAAAGTAACCAGAAGGACGCATGCGCTGCATATACTAAGAGCTGCGAGTGACACGAGGCCATTCCGGGGAGCGAGGTGAAGACAGCGAGGAGTCTACCTCTCGTTCCTTCTCCTCACAGTCAGAGCAGGTGGCTCGGCAAGATCATGGGCCATGCCAGACGAGTCGCCCGAGCATGCGGTGGCTACTCGATGCTGTGGAGGAGCATCAGGCAGATCCTTATCTTCGTCAGACCCCGCGATATTGTGAGCTTCCGCCTACTGTTGAGACGTCGTCCTGACCTCCGGCGGCAGATGAAGGCCTGGCACTTTCTGAGGGTGGTTGGGATCATCAAGGCTCTTGCTCTCTCTCCCGTCATCTTCCGAAGCATCTTCGGGTCATTCACAATCTTGAGAGTTATGATCTCATGGTTGAACAAGGTGATTGTGCGTTTGGTCGTTTAGAGTCATTCTGAAGGTTCTGAGCAGGGATGGGGAGGAGCTTTCAATTTCATTCTGCGTCGCAAGGCTCCGCTGAGGGACAGAGAGGTCAAAGTTGATGCAGTGAGGAGTTTGAGAAAGCAGGCAAAGCTGAAGTTGTAATTATTGTTTCCATTGTACATATTGTGAATACACATGTTATGTTTGCTGAGTGACGTGATTGGAAACATGGTGCACGACAAGACAGAAAAGAAGCGTCAAACTTCGATCATCTCCCTGCTGTTGACATGCTCTTGCTGCAGCTCGCTCATCGCCTTCTTCCTCCACCTGCAGGTCTGTGAGCTGAGGGAAAGTTGGAGGCGACCGCTGGCGGAGAGAGGTGGGAAAGGAGGAAGGAGGATTGAACAGAGGACGGGACGGAGGAGTGATCTTACCTCATGTACGCTCGACATCTGACAAGGTAGAGGACTTTCGGGTCAACGTCAGCAAGATCGCGAATGGGGTGCACACGGGGCGGGGGCCTGCAGCATTCCGAAGTGAGGACGGCAGAAGGGGAGGAGCGAATGATTGGAGGAGGACAAGGAAAGGCGAGAAGCTGGAAAGAGAAGGGAGGAGGGAGGTGAAGGAGGAGGAGGAGGAGGGAAAGAGACCCGGAAAGGCTTGACAGAGCATCGACGATGTTCCTGCAGGTTTCTTCCAAGGGAGTAAGGGTAGAGCCGCGGGGGGAGGGTTTGGCAGCAGGAGCAGGGACTCTAAACTCGCTGATCTTCTCTTGTCTTTGTGATACTTCTTTGTACATGTTTCGAATGTCTTCAATCTCCAATCTGTCAGAGGCTGTTAGGATCGCTCTCATCGCATCATTCTCTATTCATCGTCATCACGATCATGATCATATCATCTCGATCGTCCTCATCATCGTCAACATGTGCAGAATCTTGTTTTTCATCATCATCGCCGGCATCATTCCATGGCTGTCAGTTCCAAGGATCACCTCATCTCCTTGACTGACGAATTGATCTTAGCAATCTCATCGCAGCATCTGTCAACATTGTCAGACAACTGAGCAAGTGGGGGAAACAGTTCACCTGTTGATCTCACTGAGGACTGAATCTCGTGCACGAACTCTTCGCTCCCTCTCCAAGTCAGGTGAATCGGCTGTGAAACTGAGGAAGCGGAGAGAAGGAGAGGGCAGGAGAAAGGGAGTAGAGAAAAGAAGTACGGAGAAAGGAAAGAGGGAGTGCAATGAGAGAGGAATGGAACCAGAAAGGAGGGAGAGAAAGAGAAAAAGGAAGACAGAGGGATAGAGATATGAGAAGACAACAAGTCATATGCGAGCATATTCAACCTCTGGCCATCCTTTTCATCCTCTCCCAGCACTTGCCCTCCTTCCTCTCGGCCGTCTACTCCCTCGCCGTCTTCTTGCATACGAATCTTCCTTGCAGCGAAGGGAGTTTGAAACGCCTGGTCGAGGTTCCTAGCACAGGAAAGCACACATCAAGGACAAGAAGGAGAAGAAACGCCGAGTCGGCGATCACCTCAACTTCTCCTCCAGCGTCTCGTTGTGAGCACCGAGGGCAAGGAACGGTGCGGGCGCTTGTTCCCCCTCCCCATCTTCCCTCAGGCCCTCTAGCACGTCGAACTGTTCGACGAGGAGCTTGCAAGCAATCTGTACAACATGAGGGGACCACCAAGATCGTACGCATGCATCAAGGCACCTTGACGTCTCCCTCCTCTTCCTCGTCATGTTCTGCCCTCTTGCTGTGCATCCTGAATTGTCCATAAGACTGCTCTGCGTTTGCTCTAACAAGCAGCTCCAAGTTCAGAGGAAGAGAGCTTTTCAGCAGCGATCATCACCGAGCAAGCGGTTGTGATGACACCACGATGGGCGACGACTTCGGCCGATCCTGAACCCCCTGCTCCTCTACCGCTGCCGGCCTGGAAGGATGTCGGCGAGCCATTTCTCAGCTTCATGCCTTACCTTGTGAAGGGACTGACATCGCAGAGCTCCAACTCAGGAAGCTCAGAGAGCAGAGAAGCGTTCTCCTGAGAGTCATCCACAGTCTCGCTCCCTTGAAACTTCTCTGGCGTGCTAGCGTGGTAGCTGTTCTCCACAGCTGTAGCCTTCTTCAGTCTCATCCTACGATCCTTCTGCTCACTGTCAAGACAGAAGGAAGGAGGAGGGGCAGGACGAGGAGGAGGCAACCCCATGACTGTTGACATGTCATAGTTGAACTTCCGACCGATGGCGCTCAGGGACGGGGAGTCAGAGGAGACAAGCTTGTTGTCCGGCATCAAGGGTACGGGCAGATGCATCAAGTTCTCCTTCATGCGCTCCAAGGGCCGACGCTGCGGCTCCATGAACGGGGTAACTGATGCAGAGGCCCCTTGCATCCTGCGTACAGATTGGGGGCAAGGACGGAACGTTTTCACACGCCAATTCAAACTTGACTCGTACGGTCGCACCGGCGGCGACTGCGACACGGTCAGTGACGGACCGGCGAGTAACTCCAGTGGCTGACGGACGGCGGGCCCCGGCCGTTACCCGGTGACCGGGCCGCGCCCGGCGGGGCGTGCCGCGTGCCACGCCGGTGTACGGCGCCGCGGGCCGGTCATCGAGGTGACTCGGAACTTTTTCAGGGCGCCCTGACTCTACCAATGAATTATACCGCCCCCGCACCGCCGTATGATTACTCAGTAGGCTTCATTATTACGAAGTACAGTTATCTTTAACTTACTAGTCAACTTTGAGTGACTGAGTGACTCGTAATACTCTGAGTAGTGACTAGGGCCTAGAAGTAAGTTACTACGCCGGGGACCGCGGGGTGCCACCGTACGGTCTGTGACTGCGGCCAGTCGGAGCCGGCGTCACCCGGCCCGGCCACCACGGTACGGTGGGCGGACGCCGCCCGGGGTGACGCGGCGGCCCGGCCGCGGCCGCCCGGGCCGCCGCGCCGCACGCCAGGCTTCCGAAGTTGTCACCGTCACGGTGACGCTTACTGACCGTACTCGTGACTAAGCCGGCGCGAGCCGCTGAGCCTGACCGTTCAGAAGTTGAC